GATGAGGTCTCGCTGCCCAGGCGGGTCTCAAACCCGCGGGCTCAGGCAATCCACTCACCTCAGCCTCCCAAAGGTGTGGGATTACAGGCTCTGAGGTGTTCAAGACCCGCCTGGGCAACTTGGTGAGACCTCATCTCTACAATAAATAAAAAAAAAATTAGCTGGGCGTGGTAGCGCTCGCCTGTAGTTCCAGCTACTTGGAAGGGTGAGGCGGAAGGATCGCCGGAGCCCAGCAGGTCGAGGCTGTGGTGGCCGGGAGCAGCCACTGCACTCCAGTCTGGGTGACAGAGTGAGACTCCAACTCAAAAAAAAAAAAAAAAAGAAAAAGAAAAACCTGGGGTCTTTTTTTTTTATCATTCTGAGACTTCTTCGGTTCCAGTTGGAAAACTGGGAGGCTTCTGTGCATTTATAGACATGAATTGGAGGACCATCTGAGAAATAACTCAGAAGAGTGTTGACTTATATGCTGTGTCCTTTTGTGGAACTCCATTCTTAGGAAGGACAGTGTCCAGCTGTGTTGCAGTCCCACCACTCTGACAGCTTCTCATGCTCAGCAGTATAATCTCACGCTTATTGGTGCATTGGTCAGTTGCTTTGCAGGATGCAGAATTTTTATTCAGTGTCCCTGTTGTCCTGTCCTCCTTCTACTTCCCAACCCCCCAAAAGGACCCATCAAGTCAGTTGTGGGACAGTTGTGTTAATAATCATAATAATAGCCAATTCTTCCATGGCATTTTCTTCAAGCCAAGCACAGTTCTGAGTGCTTTCCTCATGAATCCTCTATGGATAGGCACTATTGATATCCCATTTTATGGTTCAGGTTACCAAGAGAGCTTAAGCAAAGTCACACAGCTAGCAGGAAGAGAGCTAGGGCTCTGGCCTTGAAGTTAGAGATCAGATTTAAATATCGGCTTGTTACTACTAGTTCTAAGAACTTATAAAGGTTACCTAACCCTCTGAGCCCTGATTTCCTCATCTATAAAATGGAGATGTTAACCTCCTCTTTGGGGTATAGAGAGATTCAATAAATAATATATCTGAAAGTGTGCCTGGTAGATGATTAATAATAACTATTTTTTAAAAAGTAAAATGAGGGCTGGGTGCAGTGGCTCAAGCCTGTAATCCCAGCACTTTGGGAGGCCAAGATGAGGGAATTGCCTCAGCCCATGGGTTTGAGAACAACCTGGGCAACTTGGTGAGACCTCATCTCTACAATAAATTTAAAAATTAGCCAGGTATGATGGCACATGCCTGTAGTTCCAGCTACATGGAAGGCTGAGGCAGAGGAATCACCTGAATCCAGCAGGTCGATGCTGGGGTGGCCATGAGCGTGCCACTGTATTCCAGCCTGGGCAACGGAGTGAGATTCCAACTCAAAAAAAAGTAAAAGGACAACATTAATGATATGGACATTGCAGCAACTAAGGCAGAACCAAAGAGAATGTGTTTATGTGTTTTTATGCCAGTGAAATGTCTCCCAAATCCATTTTTTTTTTTTTTTTTTTTTTTTTGAGTTGTAGTCTCACTTTGTTGCCCAGGCTGGAGTGTAGTGGCATACTTATGGCCACCCCAGTATCGACCTGCTGGGCTCCAGTGATCCTTCCACCTTAGCCTTCCAAGTAGCTGGAACTACAGGCGCTTGCTACCTCACCAGCTACTTTCTGATTTATTGTGGAGACAAGGTCTTGCCAAGTTGCCCAGGCTGGTCTTGACCCCATGGGCTCAGGCAGTCTACTCGCCTTGGCCTCCCAAAGAGCTGGGATTACAGGCAGAACCACCGAGCCTGGCCCAAGTCCATTCTTTTATGTCATGTTATTAAATTAGTTTGACTCCAATGTGAGAAATTATTTCCCTCTAGCAAGAGTTCACAAGACAAAACCACATCTGGCATGTAACATAGAGACTGAGTGTTCTTCCCACCAAATGAGGCCCTTCCAGCATATGGTATTTTTGCTGATCAGATTATATTGGGCTTTGATACAAGATAGATCAGGCTGACACAAAGTGGTTAAGAAAATATAAAGATCACACTGAAGCCACCCAAAATAGCCTGAGATATTTTAATTATTCTGTATTAGCTTGCTGCATCTTATAACATTTTCTTTCAAATCAAGTCACAGCTGTGTGTACTTTGGGCTGTGGCCGTCATAAACAAATATGAAAAGAAGCAGCGTTAAAACAGAAGAATACCAATGGTTATCCATTAGTCTGACCTCATGTAACCCAAATGACCATCAGAGACTTGCAAAGAAAACAGAGAAAGAGAATTTCACATATGAGCCTCAGCACAACTGAAGGCCAGCTTTGCTGGTGCTGGTTGCCTGGTTTGGTCAAGGTTATGCTTTGGGGAAGCAGTCCTCCCTTCTAGATGACTTTTTCGATAAGCGAGGAAAGCAGAAGATTCCAGGGCACAGAGAATCAGATTTCGAGGAAATGGATTCAAAGCTGGGAGTGAATGTTCTCCTCTTCCCTGGTAAAATTAGACACGTGTTGCCATGGAAACCCACCCATCACCACCACCAGCATGGACTGGTTTAAGCCTCTTGACAAGGAGAGGGTTGCTGTCTTCTCCCACTTCTACCCCCTCCTCTTCCAATTCCTCCTCTCTCCCTTCAGCTGAAATTCCTCCCATGCTTTTTTTCATACTAAAAATCAATTTCGTGTCTCAAGTGATCAATTCCATAAAATGCTAGTTTGGTAAAAATGAAAGTACCTAATTGAAGGGATGGCATATTGAACCATGTGGTATCAGGGTGGCTGGGGAGGGACACCAGACTTCAGAAGTATCCTCCGGGACAGTGTACAGTGAGTGTGGCTTCCACAGCGGGAGCTGTGTGAGGTTGTACATGCTTTAACAGCTCATTTGCCAGAAAAATTCCAGTCTTTCTTCCTTTTCTGTTTATAACAACTTGTCCTAATTGGGTGCCGTGACCTGCACTCCTTAGCTGGGAGTTGTTTGCTTAGATCAGAAAACTCCAAGCGAGCGATTCAGCTGGGGATACAGGTCAAAGGTTGAGGGGAAGAGCCAGGCCTTGAGGGGCCCTCCTTGGGTCACCTAGAATTGGGAGGTCTGTCCAGATGAACTGCAGAGCTTTTCCAGGACAGCACGGACTTCCTCCGGATTATAGTTCCAAGGGCCAGACTTACCCTGCAAGAGAAATGAATCGGGCATTCCCAGGTTTCCCACTTGGGAGTATGGTAGACTCGATGGCCGATGCAGCCATGAGGTAGATGGGACCACCCAGGGAAAGTGTGTAGGGTGGCATCAACGGTGCTGGGAAGACTGGACGGAGAACAGGAGGAAAACTCGATGAAGGAAAGTGCCATTGAGTTTCAAAAAAAGGAGGTCTGAGCCGGGCTCGGTGGCTCAGCCTGTAATCCCACACCTTTGGGAGGCTGAGGTGAGTGGATTGCCTGAGCCCGCGGGTTCGAGACCCGCCTGGGCAGCGAGACCTCATCTCTACAATAAATCAAAAAATCAGCCGGGCGTGG